ACTTGTATCAGCACAAAAGAATGCAAATGTGAGTGAACGCTAGCCAGAAAGTGTTACTCCCGTTGGGGATGCGCTCTTCCCGTGTAACGCACTGAAACAAGGGCAAATAAAGCACAAAGATTTCACAACATTCTACATGTAAATTAAGTTGTTAGTTTGCAAATATTGTAAACATTGTTCTTTTTAAAAATATTATATGGCAGATCTTGCAATTAACTGTATCAGAAAAAAAGAAATATATTTGTATAAGTTACAGCAAACATCGTTGTCATAAACGATCGTCGCTGTCACGCCCGAGTGCTCGTGCACATCCCTAATCTGAACCCAATGACTCTGACATTAGAAAAACAATCTTTGTGTTTATTTTAAGCACTAGAAAAAGCTGGACTATGTGGGTGTGTCACTAATGGCCCGTTCACATGACATATATCTAGACACTTCCTCAAAGACTGTACACTTGACGCGTCATTGGCAATCGATCAAACTGCTGCAGTTTTGGATGAGCAGGTTTCGGGTCGAGCTGCAGAGACCTGCTTGCTTTGTGGAGATCACTCAGCTATGTGTGTCAGTTACATAACTCCTTGATAACTAGTCATCTTCAGACTTCCAGTAAACACAAAACGGTTTTAAAAGAAGCACATTAACAGATTGCTTCCAGTTCCAAAGAAGTGCCCTACTATCATGCCCTTTGAGCACATTTCATTCGATTACAATTTATGCTCACACAAGTCAGGATTTGCAAATAGTTGAGGAGAGATGGCAGTAGAAAACATGATGGAACATGATTGTGAAAAAGAAAATGGTGCAGTTCTGTCTGAATAGTGTCAGATATTGTATTCTTGCATTGACCTTACAGCATTTTTAAGTAGTTTAATACTTTGGGTAAAACTGTAACAAACCAATAATGGTACAGTAACTGTTGGGCTAATTTAGGGAGCAGCACTGACTTTAATGCTCCATTTCATGGCTGTTTCTTACTGGAGGAAATGCATGTCATGATTATTCCCAGAAAAGATACTCTCAAAACGTAATTCTTATTTTGTGCATTCTTTTCCTCTTCAATACTGAATATATGTTTGTGCCAAAACGACTAAAATATCATTTATTTTAGGGATAACTGAGTGTGGTTCCCATACTTTTTTGTTTTTATTGTTAACTAAAACCTTCTTTTTTATTATTAATTGAAATGAAGCTGCAATAAAATTAAATCAAAATATTAGAAAATTAGAAATGTTGTCTTGGCAAATAACTGAAATAATTTTAAGTTTGAGCCCTAAAATTACTAAAATTACTAACTGTAAATAAATACAACCTAAAACTAAAATTAAACGAATTAAATAAAATAACTAATTAATTAAACCTAAACAGTATTATTAAAAAAACTAACAAAAAGGACAAAAGCACAACAAAACTCCTCAACATAAACTAAAATGAAAATGAAAATGAAACTGAAAACTGTTTCTCCATTCATTTAAGGCCCCGATATACTTCAAGCGAAATCAAAGAACTAACTGGTGTGGCGTCATTTCGAACAAAATCAGGCTAAAACAAAGTTTGTTTGGAGTTTTTTTCAGGAAACAGCATGCCGAAGTGAACTTTCCAGAAATGTACGCTATGGCAGGTAATCATGTTCGTACCACCATTGGCCTGTGGTGAATATATAATAGTCGGGTGTGGCTTTAACTCTAATGTGCAGTCTTTTGAGATCAGATGTCTGTACACAAAAACATGAACACACTGGAGTACTGTTGTCAAAAATATAGATATTTCGATACTTAAATATCTGAAACGATGCCAATATTTTTTTTCTGCAGTATCAATACACCAATACCAGCTGCGCGTTCTCGCTCTCTCTTCTCTCTGGTGAATTGACTTTGACACACACCCACCTCTTCTCATTTGATCCGGTTGAATAGTGTTGGTGCTACAAGTCCTAAATTTTGCAAAACTGTTCTCATTACCGAAGGTTTCACGCTCACACCACTGATCTATATAAGTGGCGCGCACATAAAGCCACCTCTCAAACAGCTCACGAGTACAAAATGTAGGCTAGTAGGCTAGTTCTTTTTCGTGGCTTATTGCGCTTAAATGTTCAAATGCACAATTGCCAAAATGCTGTCTTGGCAAGTATTCAGGTAAATACAGTCAGTTTTGGAACGCAAACAGTTGACAAATAAATCGCATGTTGTGTAACAGTATATTGGATCTGTACTTCAGAATTAAAATTTCCTGATAATTTACTCACCCCCACATCATCAGAAATATTCATGTCTTTCTTTCATCCTTTCTTTCATCCAAATTAAAGTTTTTGAGGAAAACATTCCAGGATTTATCTCCATATAGTGGACTTGGTTATCAACGGGTTGAAGGTCCAAATTGCAGTTTCAATGCAGCTTCAAAGGGAACTACACGATCCCAGCCGAGGAATAAGGGTCTTTTCTAGCGAAACGATCTGTCATTTTCTAAAAAAAAATACTTTTTAACCACAAATGCTCGTCTTGCTCTAGCTGTGATGCGCCACACGTTACGTAATCACGTTGAAACGTCACACGTGACGTAGGCGGAAGTACCCACCTGGTGTTTACAAAGCGAATGTGCAAAGACTAAGTAAAACGCCCTTTACAAATAAAAATCAAAAACCAAAAGGTAAAACAACAGTATCGGACGATTTTGAAATTGCAGGAGAAAATGAGTTTTTCGTCCTACTCTACATTTTCCGCCTACGTCAAGTTACCGCCTGACCTTTTTAAGAAAATGAGTAGGGTTGGGCCGATGGTGATGGCTGACAGACATCACGATGTTTAGACGGCATCGGCTAAACATCGTGATGTCCCCCCGTCCCGTTGCCATGGTGGCGCGTCATGCTTGGCACGTGATTCACCACAGCCAAAAAAGCGCTGTATGACAGATTTAGCGCTTTTATTTCTAAATATGAACAATCTTGCTTACCATGTCATGAACTATCTTCTATTCCGATTCTCAAATATGTGTAAGTGAGTTTGTTTTGTCGTTAAAAAAAAAAAAAAAAAAATGTATCTTGCTCTGTAACGTGAGATGGGCGCCGTGTTTGGGCCGCAGTTCAGAGATTTCTGTCTGTTGGGATTTATTACAGCGCATGAATTCATCAGTTTCTCCCGAAATACATAAAAGTAAGTGGCCGGTGAACTGGGAGAAAAATAGAGTTGACTTTATAGTTATTTACACTGTGTCTCTCTGATATGAAAAAAAGCGTCGTCAAATATATTTGAATGGGTTGTTGCTGCTTCCATAGACACCATTGTGTATTTTACAAACTATAAATGTATTGTTTTGCTATAAATTATATGTATTTAAATGTCTGAAACCTAAAATAAACATTATGTGGTTAAAAACACTGAACAGATGACCTATGACAAGTGCTGAGCGCGTCCGTCTTTGGCTCAGCGCCAGCCATAGAGCGAAAGCACGAAGTTTGAATCTGGCAGTGATGTCACGTCACTGTACATTCGCTCTTAGTGCTCAGCTGCTGCAGAGCGTGCCGAAATCGAAATTGCTGATGAGATATAGAGGAAAATATTTAGTGGAAAATGAGAATATTACGTAAATACCCCCCCCCCCCAAGTCATCGTCCATCGCGATGTTTCACTGTAGACATCGTCTGATGCCAAATTGGTAGACATCGCCCAACCCTCGTGTAGAGCCCTTTGAAGCTGCATTCCCTAACCTGTTGATAACCGTTGAAGTCCACTACATGAAGAAAAATCCTGGAATTTCTTCCTAAAAAACATTCATTTCTTTTTGACTGAAGAAAGAAAGACATGAATATCTTGGATGACGTGGGGGTGAGTAAATGATCAGGAAATTTGAATTCTGAAGTGAACTAATCCTTTAAAGTGGCAGCAGCCTAATAAACCTGCTGCTTTCTGTCATGTTCATCAAAGAAAAAGAGAGAAAGAGAAAGTCACTCACTGCTCTTGACTGAATAACTTTTGTAACATTAATTGTAAGCATTGTATAAAAAATGAATTTTTCAAGGTATCGTATTAAAGCTGCTGCTTTAAAGCGAATCTATTATATAAAGTGCTATATAAATAAACATGGCGTGATGTCACTGGAGTGCTAGGCTCAGCCTCAGACATCACACACCCACAGAACGTTGGCTGAACGTCTCATGCATATGGCACACTTAACTGGAAACACTTCAGGATATTCTAAAACTGATTGGAAACAAATCCGTTGTGACGCCAAACCCCCTCATGGAAGAAGAAAGTGGTCGTGTTTACAACTGTGACAATGAGCGCTTACCAGGATCGACTAAATGCTGGATTATCAAAAGTATGTGAAGGTTGCGGCTCCATTGTTGCAGTATACTTGCACAATGTTCTTGAATGAATAATTTATTAATTTATTTATCGTTGGGACATCGATTTACATTTTCACACCCCTAAACATGATGCGGAACAAAACAAACTGTGATTGGTTGCGTTACATGTCAGTCAAACGTCTGCTCGGGCAGTCCTTGGCCAGTGAAAGCTGTGATGGAGTCCAGACCTTCTGCCGTCAGTCTGAAGGTCTGGCTACGAGAGACTACTGGAGTGCCAAATTGCAGAGCTTGTGTAAACATTCACATAGCTATGATCGGATACTTTCTTAACTGCTGTTTTCTCACCGCTGTCATTTCTGTTGTGCGTTTATTGAATTATTGAGAGGAAAGCACGTGGCACATATTTACATATTCATCTATGTAATCTACTCATCACAATGTGATCCATTCATCACATACGCCGCTCTCAGCAGTGCAGATGGCGCCGGGATGCCTATAAAATGGTTTAGAGCTCAGCACACCAAGATACATTTATAATCACTACAGACATTTCTATGATTTCTTCCATGATTTCTTAAGATTTTAAGTCATTTCTAAGACTTTTCCAGGGCGAGGCACAAATTGAAAAATTCCATGACGCTGGCAATTTTCATCCGTAACTGAAGCACTGACCATCAAGGTGGCTTTCATGGCTTACCTGGCATAGGGGCTTGTGTAGTTTTTGGAAAAGCATTCGCTGGCCCTCTGTTGCATTCCGCTTGCATTCCCAAAGCCCTGGCCCCTGCTCCAACTGTCTTCTGAAGAGCTCAGAGGGGTGTACACGTTAAAGATAGGCTTCTGATCTTTCTGCTGACTGACAGCAGCTGTGGACGGGCCGGCCCCAAAGAGAAAGCTCTGTCCACTTGAAGTGGTGACACCACAAATGTTAATAGGTGTGCTGTGGAGACCAATCTGACAGTAGTTAGTCCCACCGACGTTCTCCTTTTTGATGACCCCTGGAGTACACAGCTGGATTATAGAGTCCTTCTCCACTTTCACAGTGGCCAGGCTGGTAGTGGTGGTGCTGGAAGTGCTCATGCCGTTGAGCGTGCTGTTTACCGAGATCGTGGCCTTTGAGTCCCTCTCTGTATTTGTCGACAAGTCTCCGAGCAGAGCATCTTCACCTATGGTGGAGAGAAACGCGTCATCTGCCACATAGAAATCAGAAGGCGATCCGTCCAACTCAAAGTCCTGCAGGAGGTCCAGAGTGTTGTCACTAAATAGCTTATGATTGCCAACATCAACATCTTTCCCCATTGGACCAAAGGAATCTTGGTCAAGATCCATATCGCATTTATCCATGGGAGAAAATTGCTCTGTTTTTAAAGGAAAGAGATTGGGGTCGACTCCACCGATCATGGAGTCCATTGAAGGGGAGGAGCTATTGAGGTCTGCAATGCTGGCCTCCAGACCTGAGAAGCTGTCCCCCAAAGTGAAAGAGCACAGGGCCTGTTGTTGTTGAGCCCTCTGCTCCTTCCCGACCGCTTTGAGTTCTGAATCTTCCATGAAGAAGCCAAGAGTGGAAGTGGTGTGCTCCTCTAGAGTGGGTGAATTGCTCAGGCCATTGGGAAGGTCCGCGGAAACTGGCTGCATCAGTGGACTGGGTTGAGGAACCATGGACGTGGGAGCGACAGACATGGCGCTTTGTATCCCGCTTCGTAAAATTCCCTCAACTGGGCTGTTGCTGTAATCCAACGTATTCAAACGCCCATCTCTCTTGGCGCCGTTCTTCAGTCCTCCTTGATCCATCTTGCATTACTGTGGTAAAACACAACAAAACAATTATATTTTCTAATACACCATAAATACCATCACTAAAAAAAAAGCATAGTTTACTGTTAGTTACATGAAAACAAAACATGATTAAAAGAGGTAAAGACAAAAATGCACCATGGTAACAACTTGTCTGAAATCATGCTGATTTATTTTCAATGTTTGAAACAGTGCTGCTTAACATTTTTTATAACCTGTGATACTTTTTTCAGGATTCTTTGATGAATAAGTTAAAAAAGAACAGCATTTATTCAAAATAGAAATCTTTTGTAACAAATTACAATATACACTACCGTTCAGACGTTTGGTGTCAGTAATTTTTTCTTTTTTAAAATAAATTAATACTTTTATTCAGCAAGGATTAGTTAAATTGATAAAAAATGTATTAGGAAAGATTTCTATTTTGAATAAATGCAGTTATTTTTTTACTTTTTATTCATAAATGAATCCTGAAAAAAGTATCACAGGTTCCAAAAAACTATTTCAACATTGATCAAATCACATATTGGATTTCTGATGGATCATGTGACACTGAGGACTGGAGTAACAATGCTGAAAATTCAGCTTTGCATCACAGAAATAAATTATATTTGAAAATATATTAAACTACAAAACCATTATTTTAAATTATAATAATATTTCACAATATTAATGATTTTTCTGTATTTTATAAATAAATGCAGGCTTGATGAGCATATGATACTTATTTCAAAAACATTAAAAATAGTAGGTTTTCTTTCCAAACTGTTGACCGGTACAGTATATTCACTTATTAATATTATTCTGTCTTGATTTTTTTCTGCGTATTGAGGGCCTAAGCTTCACCAAGGCAAATCGCTTATGTGTGTAAGCAAGAATACTTGACAATAAATCTCATTCTGATTCTAAAATAGCATAGTTGCTCACATTTACTCTGAGGTAAACTGTGGTAACTTAGTATTAGCCACAACAACAAACAGCAGTACTATTGTATGACGTGATAAAAAAAATAAACAAACAAAAAGACCCGCGAGAAGTTGGACTGTTCTGCATAAACGCCACATAAACTGTAACTATGCGTGCTTTGAAATTATATATTTTGACACTGGATGAGTTATCTATATTTAACGTTAAATGTATTAAAATAACAGTAACGCCGTTGGACATACGTCTCGTACTTACTTGCACACAGTAACTTAGCCTAATTATTAAACTTATTAAAGTAACTAGATGTTTTTATAATAACTACCTCATAAAATATCTCAATCTTTAACGTTATAAGCACTATTTTGTCCAAAACGCCTCATCATCTGCAGCTGAATGCGTGGAGCTTACATCTTTCGACCATTATTTTAATAAACGGATAAAAATCCAAATGTGTACCGTTAAGTCTCGCGCTGATCTCGCGACTCGCGTTCTTGTAGCAGCAGCACGAGCGCGCGCGGATCAGTCAGTGTGACACGCACTGAGGCCTACTCTAGTACTCACACCCACTGCTAACCCACAGCAGACAGACGAGTCAATCACTTCAAATTTCAACTCTGAACCCCTAAAATAACGCGCAATACCTATGCAACAGCCAAAACACAACATACATCACCCTAACAGGACTGCAATAACGGTTTAATGGCGTGAAAAACAAGTCGCGAGATCAGTCAGAGTGTAGAAACGAGAGTTACTAATTTAAAACGAGTTGCTATACTTTTACGCTATGAATACGTATATTAGTATCCAGGTGCACGATAGACAAGAAAAGATCTGGAAATGCGTACCTTTTGATATTTACGTTCCTGTTTTGATTTGTTGCATCATCTGACATTGTTTTAGTGTAGAGGTTTCTGCTGAAAGCGATTAGCAACAACATGAGCCTTCACCGCAGTCTGAGGTCGTTTTAGAAGAGCAAGACAAATCGCAAACTGCGAGAAAAAGGTCGCGGGTCGGATATCGTCCAGCGTTTTAGTCCGAATTCATAACCCCATCTGGGTAATCCAGGCAATTTTCTCATTTTCGGCCATGAGAAAAGAGGCGTGCCACATAAAACCCTAAACCATAAAAACATTCAAAATGGAGATTACAGTGGAGGTCCGTGGCGACACTGTTTACAACGTGCAGTGCGACCTATTGGCAGTGACGAGTTATTACATCTCGCCTCTTATTACAGTGACTTCACTGGGTGAGATGAGAGTAACCTCGGTGATATCACCATCATAAAACACACACACACACACACACACACACACACACACACACACACACACACACACACACACACACACACACACACACACACACACACACACACACTGCCTCCTCTCTCTTCACTGCTTCTATTTCTGTTGTTCTTCTGTTTCTCTCATACACATGCACACATTGGCGACGCTGTATAACTTTAACATTATTACATGAATGGGTCATTGACAAATAAAGCTTCAAAAAGGTTTTTTTAAAAATATATTTTCAATACTGATGTAATGCATATTTGTTAAGTCATGAACAATGTGTTTAAACAAGTTTCAGTTGTTGAATAACATTTCAAAGTGTTTACATTCTTTTTTGTTGTTGTTGTTGTTGTTTCATGTTATCATGTAAATGCATGCTTTCATGTCAGGCTGTACAACCAAATAGTTGTGTATATATATATATATATATATATATATATATATATATATATATATATAGCCTATATTTGAGAGAGATCTACAAACCTTTTCACTGCCTCAAGGATCATTTGAGGTCTTCTGGATGATGAATTATTATGTTTACTGTTTTGTCAATTCATAATAAAATAAATAAATAAATAAATAAAAACTCATGTTTGCAGTTGTGCCACCCATACAAATTGCTGGACAATTTTTTTCAATGATCTCAACAGAAATGTATTTATATGAAAGGTTTCAAAGATAAAATTATGCCATAGTATTTAGTTTTTTTTTGTTTTGTTTTTTTAGCCTATTAAAGCACAGTTTTAAATAGTTTGCTTAGTCTGTTCATTTGTTCAGGCAGTTGCAGCACCTGACATTTTGGGGGTTGAAGATAACAAACCATAAAATAATATGTATTATTGAAATGTAGGCTACCTACTAAAACTGAATTCAATAGGTTTTATAGAATAAAGTGAATAAAGAATACATTTATCAAATGTATTCTTTATATTTTAAAAGGAAAGAATGCACTTGGACACAAAAATGTGTATGTCGTTGACCCGTAATACATAAATGATCATTAGTTCATGAACATAGAAGTAAAATGACTTGGCCTATTAATAAAGTTTGTGTTTCAAGCACAATTCCCTAGCTTAGCTTTATTTAGTTTCTGTGCATTTATTATTGATCAGATTGTCTTATGCATCTTCTCGCAATATATCCTAGAAATATATCCATTAATATATCCTAGAAATATATATATATATTTTTTTTTACATGCGTTTAAAAAAAAATTAGATAAAGAGAGTGTAAAGTTGTTCAGGATAAATATTAACACATGTAAGCTGAGAATGCAATACTATGTTCAAACAGTGCTTTAAATGGCATGGTCACAACAGACAAACCAGGTTATGTTTATTCCAGATATTTTCTGATGTGGCAGTTCTGCAAATCATTGTCAACGACCAACCAAAAATTCAGCAATGATGTGCTGTCAGTAATTACACATTTAAATAAATAAATAAATAAAATGTACACAGAATTCATTTAAAAATCTTGAATGAATCTACATTGGGTTACAATAATGAAAGTAGGGTCAGGTGTTCACTTTAATAGGCTTGTTCGACTTCATGCAGCTCTGCGCAGACCGATCGGCGGCAGACTTGAAGCAGTGCATGCCGGTTAGAAATGTTGTCCGACTTGATACAGCGCCGACGCCACGTGACTGTGACGTATGCCATCAAAGTACCGCGAGAGCGATTCGAGAGTAGCCGGAGAACTCAGCCAGCGCAGCTTCTGAAGAGCGGCTGCTCTGGGCTGCACGAGCTCTGATGACGACACAGCTGTTCCACGATTGGCCGGATTCACCGCATGACAACGATCACGTGCGTTTCGTGTTTATTCTCACACCTTTAGTTCCACTTAAGCTCACAAATCAGTTTTTTTAATTACAGTAAACACTCTTTTCATGTAGTCGCGATTTATTGTGTTATGTTTATCAAAATAAAACTGATTAAAAAACGTTGATTCCACTTCATTGATAGTAGGCCTGGCTGTAGGCTTATGTTGAACTTTATTCTTGTTCAAACAAACGCTGTATGAAGCAGTACATAAAGTATTGAATGAAAATGTCTCTGAAACATCTGTGTATTTGGCAAATATTGCATTTATTTCACTTTAGCTGTGGTAAAGTATGCAAACACCACGTGAGCGGTCACTACGGGAACCCGAAAGTGTCCGACTTCACGTCTCCGTTTGCAGCTCCTCCCCGCCTGCACGCGGCTACTCTCGCCGATCAGTTACATCCAGCCGCAGCCGATGTCGAACACACCTAATGACTCTTCAAGATATCATGTGACTCTTCAACTAAAGTGGTGCTAGTAGAGTAATTATTGAAATAAAGCCAAATTATGTACAGTGGATATAAAAAGTCTACACACCACTGTTAAAAATATGTTTTTTGTTACATAAAAAAATGAAACAAATATAAATATTTTGCACTAGACTACCCTGCAGGTATGAGGAACACATTTCAATGTGTGTAGAAGGTGACCAGTATTTATTTTACAGCATCGGCAGAACCGAAGAACAGACGTTTTAATGTGAAAAAGTGCTTTCTCCACTTAGCCAAAGGGGAATGTTGTAGCTTTGAATCAAGTTTTTGCTTTTCTGAATACACTCAAATTTAAAGTAATTATATTGACAATTTAAAATGTTAAAAGTTTTTAGTTAAAGTAAGAAAAGTTTTTGCAGTTTATGAAAGAGGAATATACTGTTTGAGAAATTTTGTATTTTTTAAGTATTGTATTACCCTACATTTTTTTGTTAAGACTTTCAACAAAATTAATAAAATGAGATGACATCAAATCAGTCAGTGAATTATAAGTACACATAATAAGTTGTGGTTACTTAGTTTTTATTTATAAATGTTGTTATAACGTAATAACAGCACATTTTATTTCAATAACTTTTACTTGCCAGAGTAACTTGGAATTGTCAAGTTCACATAACTTATTTTTTTCAATTATGCATGAAGTTTATTTACTTAAAATTTTTAAGGCAACGGGTTTCCTCACTTTTTTTAAGTTGTCAACTGATCACTTTTTACAGTGAAAATACAACCTGTGCAATGCCACTGAACACAGAAGAAAGATAATAACCCCCCCAAAATGTATTAAATAAATGTAATTGTTCAGAAATAAACAAATCATTACGCTCATCTGAAAACCTGTCTTCACCTGAAGCGATTCTGATAAATCTCAGCTGTTGTTGTAAGATTTTTCTGACCTCTTGGTTGCATGCATTAGATGGAACACAGTGGAGACAGTAATCAACAAGGGGAGAAAGTTTGGCACAACAGTGTTATTAACAAGAACGGTATAGGCTGTCCCTCCAAAATTGATGAGAAGACAAAGAGAAATAATAATAATAATAATAAATTGAATTTGTATAGCGCTTTTCTCGAACTCAAAGTCGCTTTACAGGGCAGGTGAATAAGCAAGACAACAACAAAAAAATCTGGTCATGGAGGCTGTCAAGAGGCCTACAGCAACATAAAAAGAGAGTTGCTGGGGGGGGGGGGGGGGGGGTGGGAGAACTTTCAAAATGAAGAGAACTTTCAGCATGAAAATGATCCAAAACACTCATCTGAATCAACTAAAGAATGGCTTCAGCAAAGAAAGATGAAAGTTTTGGAATGGCCCAGCCAGAGCCCAGACCTGATCCTATAGAAAAGTTGTGGGGGGATCTGAAAAGGGCAGCGTAACAAAGATGCAGCTGTTTTGATGGACTTTTTATGTCTACAGGGGTCTTCAACGTTTTTCAGGGCAACGACCCCTTAGGCGAAAGAGGGTTTGTAGATTTCAAGAAATTTAGATATAAACTTTATTTAACGTTTTTTCTTCTTTTTTCTTCTTCTTCAGTTTTTTGCATTTAAAATGATTTAAAAATGGCCGCTGCAAAAAACACGCTGTTAATAGGAACATTTCACATTCTCCAGAGCGCAAATAAAGCCTATATAGAGTTTGACAAATCTCGCCAATATATAATATTATATTATTACAGTGAGTATCAATTGAGGGTGCATGGTCTTGATTTTGTATCAGGGTGCTTATTTAAATTTGACTTTGTGATGTTTTAATAATATGTGCAACGGATTCATGCGAACGGGGATCGTTTTGACAACGTTGTCGTCTGTATGTCAAAAATGCAAAAGAAAAAGTTTTTTCCATTTTTAGTACATTCAACATATTAATAAAACTGTATCTCAATTATGCTAAAATAACACAACTTCGTAGATATGCATATGGAGAAACCGCAGAAGGTTTTGTTTCATGTCTGTCATGTGATCCCCTGTTATAGTCATGTGATCGTGCCATGTGTTCCCCATGTGAATGTGTCATGTTGTCATTGGTTGATTGTCTTGATTATGGTCACAGATGTCCCTTGTCATTAGTCTTGTGTTTTTAAGCCCTCATGTTTGCCATGTGCCATTATTGTTTGTGTAACCACTGTTCGCTCATGTTCATGTTTTGAGTTCATGCCTTTGTTTTATGTTTGATCCTGTTTTGAATAAATGTTGCACTTGGGTTCTTCAAACTTGCCTTCAACTTACTTACAGAAATGGGATGGTCTGTAAGTTAAGTTTCCATTTTCATGTAAAATGGGTGGAGGTGTACATAACTCTATTTTAGAAACTGTCAGGAATAATGAAACCGTTAAAAAAATATGGGTAGAAATCACAATATGTTTACCGCAAGGAAAAGGACTCTCAAAAGCACACCATGGAGCTGAAAAATAAATAATTGCAATAATGGCACTCTTCTGCTTCCATTAAGCACGAAGGCCCTCCACATGTAGAAACATCCAAATCCACATAAATGGCTCCTCTCTGAGGCAGGGGTGGCTGAAATCCAGAGAATACTAAAAATCTAGGTCAATGGATTGCTGCACAGCT